AATCAAGGAAGCAAATTCCTGAACTCTGAGGTAGTTATGTATTTAACAGTATTTAAAATGGTCAATCCATTATTACAAAAATCAGTTAGCAATGCATGATCATTCCAGGTACCGCAAATAGTAACTGAAAATTGATAACAGTTTGATACTTCATAATTTATTTTTCTTATTATATTAATAATATTTGCAAAGTGAGGGATTGAGCCCAGTGTTTCTTTCTTTTTTTTTGGTTTTGTTTTTTTCTCCGGTACCGGGAATCGAACTCATGACCTTGAGCTTGCCAGGCAGGCACTGTGCCCCTGAGCTAAATCCCCAGCCCCCCAGTGTTTCAATCATGATACAGCAGTGCTCGACAGCTGAGCCACAATCCTAGAGCTTTTTATTTGTATTTTGAGGCATGATATCACTAATCTGCAAAGGTTGGACTCAAACTTGTGACCCACCTGCCTCAGTCAGAGGAATTACAAGTTTCCATCACTTTCCCCAAAGAGTGGTTGGCAGGTAGTTTCTTACTGCCCATATACTTCATTCCCCTAAGCCCAAGAATGCTGAGCCTCCCCTTCATCATTCCGTCACAGATCGCTTTGCTACTTAGTGTGTGAGGTACGTTTCACATGCCTTCCCTATGTTTTGTAGATTGCCTTTTTTGTTCTTGATGTATTGAAGCACAAACCTTCACCTAGCTGTAGCCATTTTGTTCAGTAAAGCCGCAGTCCTTCTGTTCTCTGCCACTGAACGCAGCTGCAGTATATGATTTGTCACCACATTGAAATTTCTGTGGACGTGTTAAACACAGCTTGTCACACACAACTACACTCACCACAAGAAACCCACTGTACCATAACCTTCAGCTAAAAGCTTGTCTCTTTCTTGTAACCTCTGTTTGCCACCACACACACACACACACACACACACATCACAATTCCTTTCCTTCAAGTTTTTTTCAAATGTTTCATTAACTTATTACAGTAGGTATATAATCAGTCTTGTGATATATGTTTTTAGTTCTTCAACTTTTATTTTCAAGATTGCTTTGGCTATTCTGGATCTCTTACATACTATGTAGAAACAGCTAGTGATTTATATGAGGGGCCTTCCTTGTATATCTTAAGAGAGAACAGGATGCATTTCCCATGAGAACAGTAATCTGTAATAATAGTTGTTACAATTACTATTGAAATCTTATGTGCAATTTACAGCAAGCTTTTGAAACATACTTTGATCTTAACCTGATGGTGTATGTTTAAAAGATGAATCACTTGGATGCTTAAAAATAGTACTTTCACATTTCTCTTTCTGGGCCAAAATGTCTGACACACACAATAGAAGAATGAAAGGCACATGTTTGATCCTGGTGTCGAAGAGTTTGGACCATCTTTACTGGGATGCAAGGCGGAAATGCATGATGGAAGTACCTGGCAGAGGAATGCAGCCTAAATCAAGAGAGTGGAGACACAGAGAGAGCAAGAAACGTACCCCTCAGCAAAGCATGAAGCCAATGACACCTCCTTAAAAGGGGCCCCAGTTCCTTACAGCACATTTAACTATGAAATTATCGATCGATTGACCCACTGATAAATATGGCACCGCCATGAGCTAATCACCTTCCAAAAGTCTGACCCTTAGACACATCAGAATTCTGGGGGACATTTTGGTCTAAATGATAGCAATTATGAAAGGTAATACTTTTTGTTTATTTATGACTCCTTCATCTTGAAGTGA